GATATTTCGCTTCTTGATAATTCGCGTCTGTAGCAGATTTTGGCAGCGGATTTGGTAAGTGAAATGTGATATGACTTATAGAGGGCAAAATTTTACCATTGCAGCTTTGAAAAATATTATCACTGAGATCGTATGTGATTTATGAACTTGTTAATAAAGTCTCGTTTCACAATAATTTTCAGTGCACTTTAATACCGTAGAATCTGGTATTTTTGCAAGTAATCGTCATTGAAAACAAATTTTAATTTTTTTGTTTCGTGTCAGTTCGTCATATTTTATTTGTTTTCTGAAAAGAATCGCGTTTAGTTTATTGTGATCAATTTTCATTTAAATGTGGGAACATAATGTGGACCAAAAAGTTTTGTACAGTGATGAGGCAGTAACTTGTGAGAAAACTAACACCAGAGCCATCTTGTATTACATGAAAATAAATGAACTTTCAAGTTTTGTTTGTAAATTATTTTTAAATACAGTTCATTAGTTGATTTAAGCTTGTCCTTTCCTCTTCCCGTTGTGTGCTGGTGTTAACGTAGGTTTGTGAATATAATGGGGCTGCTTTGTAGTTGGCCTGTGATTAACGCCTTGAGGTCTGAGTCATTCAGAACAACTTTTCCTGGCAAATGCGTAAGCTCTGACATCATTTAAGATACTTTCCTGCTGGTTACTCACATTTATTTATCCATCTCATTGTATGTGGTTTAACATTTAGAGTTGATACAGCGCCTTTGGATAGCCAAGAACCAATCAAAACAAGTTTTTTTTAAATGTCGCTTATCGTCAATGGATTGACCATTGTACGTGGACTGAAAAGGCTGTTTCTTGACGTTTGAGATAGTTCGTGTTGCTTGAATTCTACTATAATGACTTAGGATAATTTGTTGAAGCTCACAAAAACATGGGACCACCTGCTAATGACTCTTCTGGATTGATCTTATCAAGAGAAAGATCTGAAACGTTATTCTTTTTTCCATTATATACAGTGAAACTGCTACAGGGTGATTATTAATTCATAATTTTTATCTTGATTTGATTTATGTGCTGCGTTCAACAATTTGGAATGGCATAATGTGAAGTTCATATTCGCCCACATCTTTTATCTTGGAAAATGTTACTCATCGGATTTGGGTGAAATTTTAGATCGTAAGTGTGGTGCTGTGTGATAGTAGGTTTTTATTATACACATAAGAATTATTTTAATAAAGTGTGGTGCTGTGTGACAGTATGTTCTTATTATACACATAAGAATTATTTTAATGTTATATCCCTTCTAGGTCCAGGTCTTTCGAGTGTCTCTGCCATAAGTGTTACATCCTCCGCCTGTTTCATCCGCTTTGTTTCGATCATTATAATATTCGGTGAAGAATACGAACTATGGATCTTTTCACCAAATTTCCTCCAGCCTCCTGTTTTTCGACACCGAAATAAATGCGTGTCATCGAAATTATACAAAGAAGTAATTGAATTTTATAATTACATATGTTTCTAGCTTCACTTTACTCAGATCGAAAGTTAATTTGTGGTCACCCTGTAATTCGTGTTATCTCATAGTAGTTAAGAATTAGCCCTACGTCACTACAGATTCGTCTGTTTGTCGCCTTGAACATTTCCTTCCATTTTAATCCCAGGTGTGTAACCAGCTGTGTCAGGCCGTCATGTATGATGCTTAAGATTTCAAACGCCCTGTCCACAGCCAGGAAGACGATGTTCGGACATTACTGTTTAGTATTTGTTGCTATCGGACACCTTTACAGTGTAGAAGCAAGTGTAATTCGCCATCTTTCGCATTTAATCACACACAATCGCTCAGTGGCAACAGAAGAGTTGGACTTGCCACAAAGAAGAGAACGCAGCCCGTCACAAGGCTCTTTCTTGACGTCTCTGCGCCCGTCCCAGAATTATGTGGTCAACAAAGCTCCAGCCCCAGCGCCGCTGATAGACACCGAGGAAGGAAATTACTTCGAGGGAGACATTATATTGCGGCCGGAGCAGCAGTTGAGCTCAGTGAGTATTTTTCGTAGCCCGCGTGGGGGAAGGGAATGAAATACGAAGACGATTTCTTTCGGAAATGCCATAACCACTTTATACCACATCCTCCCCAACCATTCACAACCAACTTATGATTCGATGTTGTAGAAAATTAATCAATCACGTGATATTAGTTGATTGTCAGACCTGCTAATTGTACAAGTTTGTCCCTTGAGGTGCAGAAGAAGCTGATGGAAGGTAAAGGGGCGAGAATGCTATGGCCCGGCAGGACTTTGTACTATGACTACAGTCATGAGTTCAGTGCTCAGCACGTGGCAATTATCGAAAGTGCGATTTCCGACTTGCAGCGTGAGACGTGCGTGAGATTCGTACGCAGGACCACTGAGCCTACTTACATTCTTCTGCGGAACACAAATCGAGGGTACGTAAACATTGAAAGATTACAAACTTTAATTTTACCTGTGGTTTTGTATGGGTGTGAAACAAGGTCTCTCACAGTAAAGGAAAAGGAAAAGAGTTTGATGATTTTTGAGAACAGGGTACTTAGGAGAATAGTTGGACTTGGGAGGGTTGAAGTAGCGGGAGACATCAGAAAATTGCATAATAAGGAACTCCAAAGTTACTTCTAAAGTAACAAAGAAGGATGAAGCTAGGGGGAATGAGATGGACAGGGCGTGTGAGGTAGATTAGAAATGCGTACAAAATTTTAGTTGGAAATCCTGAAGGGAGGGGATCAGAAGACCTAGACATAGATGGGAAAATCATAGGGAAATCTGATCTGGATTAGATTCAACAGGCTCAGGATAGGGACACGTGTCCCTGATTCTTGTAGCATGGTAATGAACCTTCGGGCTCCATAAAAGACGTGGAATTTCTTGACTAGTCGAGCTAACTATTGCCTTCTCAAGAAGGTTTCTGGTCCATGGAGTTATATTTGTATTGAATAATTTTATAAGCACGTGTCTTTAGTTTAATTTCCTACTCGAAACCTCATCACTCAATGAACGCGTTTCTGAATATCAGCTTCTTAAATGCTTGAATATTTCTCAGGTGCGCATCTCAGGTTGGCTATCATCCAATAGGGAGCGGAATTGATCTTTACCTGAGTTCTCCTGGTTGCCTAAAGACTGGCACCATACAGCACGAGCTGCTGCATGCCTTAGGCTTCTGGCATGAACATACTCGACCTGACAGAGACAGGTTCATCAGCATCTTCTGGGACAACATCATATCCGGTGCGTACCGCCATTGCCTTCGACATTCTGGGTAAATTAGGGTCCGCGACCCGTGTGTTGTGGATTATAATAGCAGAAGTGAACATAAGAGATAAAAAATTGATACTGATATAAATTTGAGTTTTAGGATGCTTGGTACGACGAGGCTGTGTGCACTATTTTTCGTGTAGTAAATTTTATTTATTTGTGCTCAGGAAGAGAGTTGAATTTCCGGGCTCGATCTCATTATGAGCCCCACGAATGGCTGCCGTACGATTACCATAGCGTCATGCACTATCGAGCCGTCGCATTCTCCAAAGACAGCATCAGCGCCACCATTGTGCCGAGAGATCACAAAGCTTTTTTCACTATTGGGCAGCGTGTACGTTTCAGCCCCATGGACCTGGCGAAACTGAACGTACTCTACAAATGCGGCTCCAACTATTATAAAGGAAATGACATGCTCGTAGAATCTCCACTTCCGGAGTCTGAAAATGTCGTTTCTTCTAACGAGAAGCCATTTTCTGGTACAGAAAAGGAGACTTCCTCTTCGAAGTCTAAGGAAGACATCTCGTCTGAAGAAGATTTATTTTCTAAGTCTGGTACAGAAAGAGATTTGTCAAATTCGAAGCCGTCTGAAGAATAGTTTTAAGCGTGGTTAAATCTGAAATGGAGACAAAGACGATACAGCGATTTGTTGTGGGCGAGGTCTCTTAACAGTCTGCTGAAGACACTGGACAAACGCGAGGTATTCTTCCCCACATTCTCAAAATTACTCTTATTGTCCCTATAAAGTCTAATACTACGATGCGACTTCCAGTCTTCTCTCTGCTCTGTCCACCTCCTGTTCATCTTGAATGCTTTTTATCAAAGTCTCGCTCTTCCTGTACTCCTTCCTGGTGGCATCCACCCCACATTCTGTTAGGACCGACCATCTGTTGTCTGCCATTCTTTGGACATGTCCATACTCTGTTAACTGTTTCATTTTAGATCGTCCGAAATAGAATTTTGTAAAATAATCTTTTGCATAAAAAAACAAAAATTTAGAATTATGTTATTAAAATTCGTGAATTACTGATAATGAAACAGGGATAAAACGTTTATTTGCTGTTTAAATACTTAAAAAGTATGTCCTTTTTTGTCAGAAAATTTATGAGACAAAGGGGAAGGCAATAATACTACCAGTGCATTAAGAGTGCCACCAGAAGCTATGTTCCTGGAAAGGAAAACACTTCGTATAACAAAAATAAAAAAAAAATCAATTGTCTATGTAGCGCCTGTAAGTTAGATTTGAACTAGAAATTCCAGTAATACTTTTTTACGAAGTTCTCTGCAGGTATATTTTTATGAATAATTTACAGACTGTCCGAATCCTGCAAGCGTTAACCTAACGTATGCAGCTTTTAAGAGTTTGGCGTAAAACGTCTTAACAACTTCCTAATTATCAGTGCTAATTAACCCCAAGTGTGTACCCGGAAATTAGGAACAGAGCGCAGGCTCGTATTCACTTGAAGGAAGATAATTTTGTTGTCACACTGTTGATGTTTCTCGAGTCGAAATAGATCTGGGTTGAGATTATTTCGAGAGAAGTGAGATACGCTCCCACATGCAAATAATACGCTTTGAATTCGTGAGAGCAGAACAGTTGAGAGCAAGGCCGAATTAAGTCCACTGCTCGTGTATTCCTGTGTGTTCATACACGAGGACGTCTCACTGACTACGGAATTAACGAAAGAGTCTTAGGACCGAGTAACCAAAAACCATGACTGCCCGCTTCCCCTCCTCTGCAGTTTATACCGGGGGCAATTTCTTAAATCATTTAACGATGCTGTTTAAACTGAAGACATTATATTGTGTTGAATTATGGATAGGTGATCATGAACGATTAATAAGTGAGGGTTAGGAAGGGACAGTCGTGGAATGTTTTAAAGAACTATCCAGTCACTCACCTGGAGTGACTGAGGATTACGACTATTACACAGCTGAATAGCTTAACGACGACGAATGGCAAAGGTGAATGATGATTTATTTCAGAGGAAACGATTATGAGACTTAACAGAATTTGTTCAGAGGAACGGAAGAGGTACACAAAGGATGTCTGAACATCCAGTCTCTAGGGCGAGATTTAGAAACGTAACCTCCAGAATACGAAGCGACACGGGATTCACATGCGAAGTGGAAAATGTTTCCGCTGCATCAAACCGTTTGATTACGGTTTTCTGTTCCGTGACTCTGCAATTAGAATTGAAATGGGCTACACCCGTTTCATAGGAGCTGAGCCACTGTTGCATTGCGAGCAACTGATAATTCAGTAGCTTCCGGACGTGTGGCGTGCAGGGACTTACTGGGACTTGAGGCTGAAGGCCCCGATTGGCGTCTGGAATGAACGAGCCACGGGTGTGTGTTCGTGAAGGACACTGCAGGCTCTTCTCGATATCAGATGACCCGTGAGCGCTGTCTTATTTCATGTGGAAAGATAACATTGATTTTAAGAAACAATATGAGAGTGTGGATTGGGTTCATGTTGCTCTGAATATGGTCCTGAAGCGGACTCTATTGAAGATGTTAATTAAACTTCTGATTCCATGAAAGCCTTAAGATTTATTGATCAACCGAGCAACTGAGAGCTTATCATGCTCAGTGGAGCAATACACGGAAAGGCAAGATCATTGTATTATTTTGTAAATGTGTTTGCCCTGTTATAAATAACAAGAAATATTTTTAATCGATTTTCTGTCTAACCTTTTGAAGCACAAGCTCGTTTAAAAATATTAAAAGATTCGGTTCCTACCGCGTGGTGTTTTAGGCCGTTGTCAGCGTTTCGGAAAGACGTACCACTCTCATCTTTTTTAAGATGAAGGCGGCACGTTCTGCCGAAACGGTGACCACAATCAAGATTACGCGGTGTCACAATGCAGAAGACCACTATAGACATCTTTACTTTCTTGAGACTCTCATATGATTTTACCTTACTACGTTTGTAAACACAGAATCCAGTTTCCTAAAGAATCGAAACGGACTTCCTTTCCATTTCCTTTGCAGTTCGTCCCATGCTCTTGTAAACTTGCTTCTAAATCTGATTTCTTCATCTCAGAGCCTTAGTCGTAGAATGGAAATGGCATTGTGGGAAAAAAGAAGGGTAGCTTTTGTACATTTGTGCGGAAGACTTGAAGACAGACCGCGACGAACTCGCTGCCAGTCTCTTCAACATGCGTGTCTCACGCACTAAATCGATACCGCGGGATTTCGGACGTTAATGTGCGTGACAGCCTCAGAACAGGGGGAAAGTGCCAGCCGTGCAAAGTTGCAGATTACCGTTTTATTTGTCTCTTGAGATACCTAGAGAGGTTTTGACTTCCCTCAGAAAGCACTGCCAAGGTCGAGTAGAAGTTACTGCACATAATGACAACGACCGGGGTTCGATTTTCGCCAGGAGAGGGATATTAATCTTTGACATCGTGTCTGTCTGTACTGCCATAGACCCACCCGTCCAACGGCACCACCAGAACACAAGGTTCCAGCGTTACCGCTACGCTCACCTGGTCGGAGGAACTCCTAAAGCGGCCAGGTGTTCCCCTGTTGTAGGTGGTGTGACGCGTAGAAGGGTCGGTCTGTGTTTTGTGGGTAATGATTTGTTCACTGTCTAATGTATTGTCACCTGTCCCTGTCATTACTCTAATCGTTCCGTGTCCTTCCGTTGTCAGTCCAACGGTTGAAATGCCGTGTGCCACGTGGCACACACTGCAAACGGATTATTCGATTTTGTCATTCAGCTGTGTGCATCTGCGAAGGTTCTGGTCGCATAAAGCACCCCTAAGAGATAAATTTGTCGACTGGATTCAACTACCTCAAGATAGGGACATGAAGGTTTACCACCTAGTTCGTAAACACCCGCTTCGGACATTACCCAAAGCTAGTTCAATCATTTCCATATCATAGTAACATTCTCCTCTAAGATATATTTTAGTATTATTATTATCATATCTAAGTGAGCTTTTAGCGAAGCTATTCCGAGTAACATTACGTATTTTGATCATGTGTTTTGTATGTCCTGGAGCCACAGTGACTTAATTGCCTAATTATATCAGATGAATACGAATTATGAACCTCCTCTTCATGCATTTTTCTCCATCCAGTAATTTACTCTGCGCTTGAAGTTATTTGTAAGAAACATTACCCAGAACGCTTACTTTTCAGTGAAACATTGGCGAGGTTGAGAGAATATTAATCAGCGTTCGAGTTCCATCAGTGACTGGGAATTCCTTGACAAACTGAGCGACTATCATTTTATGTAGACAGAGTTGGAGTTGTGTGGTGATTTCAGTAGCACCATCCTGTACGTCAGAGGCATCTGCCCCATTATCCAGTGCCCGGGCTCCTCAGTTTCTAAGTCTGTTAGACGGGTCCCGAGTACTGCGCCTTGTACTTGCAAGTCCGATACAAGGGGGAGGGGTTGGTCAGTTCTGGCATAGCGTGCAGTGTCTAGGGCGAGGGAGGGCGCTCTGACAGACGCCGGCGACCTGTTCAACTCCCCTGCGTCACTCCAAATACGAAAGTTGCTGTGGGACGTCAGTAGGTAGGGAGGTTGTTGATTGCCAGCGGCAGTTACTGGTGTGTGGTGGTGATCTGTGGACACGTGATGTGCTACTGGTGCGCTCCCTTTCACTGTCGATACTTCGGTCCTGCTCCCATCGGGAAGTGAACATTTGTAAGTTCCATACAGTTCCTTAATTTACATATCCTAAAACTAACACACACTCTACTGAATAAAAATTTTCTTGGATATTATCCATCGTCTAGTAAATATAAAACGTAAAACGACGTTTCGGAGATGGGACTCTATCTTCGTCTTCAGGTTCCTACACAGTTGGGCCCACTAGATAGAGCTAATCTCTATCTCGTTTTACGTTTTATATTTAGATTTGATATAACACACACTCTATTCACTCGAACAACATGTTTAGAATCGATTTCGTCATAATCAGGTCCAATTCCCTGCTTCTCTGTCATTGAACTAAGGATCTCCGCCCCGATGTCCAGAAATAATGATGACTGTATATTAAAACGTTTATCATTTTGTTAATTCGGTTAAAAGTTAAAATGTTTATATATATATATATATATATATATATATATATGTATATATATGTAAACACGTGTTTCGAAATAGTTAACAGCATTACATTCATCAGATAAAATATTTACACCGAACAACTGTGTCTTAACCTGAACTCTTAAAAGAACAAAATTCTTCTTTAATGTTACGAAGTTCTCGCTGATCATTTACGTGCAAAACAGGCTTGGGTGCTCCATTGTTTATTCCTCGTGATTTACTAAAAACTAACGCATATACAGTGAATCGGAGGGAGAGGTTTGTTGTTGTTGTTGTTTAGAGCTTGCTTCTTGCGTTCTACTAATCTGTCCACAAGAAGTTGACTCTGTTCACTCTTTATGTGTGGATGACAGTGTTTGCTTCTCGGTTATATATGGTGCATCAGAAACAATAGACCTACATTTTGAATAAGAATTAGAAACTTTAAATAAATAATAGAACTCTTGAGAGACTTGCAGATAAACATGGTTCCCCTCCCTCATTTATAATCGTAATTGACGAAATGCAACACATTTTTGCTGTCCAGCTACACTTTTAGTTCATAGGAAAGAAAAAGTAATTTCATAAAGTTCTTGAAAGTTAATGGACGTCTTGCTAAATTACTTAACGTTGTCCATTAGGTAAAATTTTAACCATCACATTTAGAAACGAGAAAGTAACTATTTGAATAATGGAAGCTATGTGTCACGGTGAAGAGATGCGTACAAAATAAGTTATCAACTTTTTATTTAAAAGTCGAATTCTGTTAAAATCCATTAATCATTCCACTCAGAAGGTGGTCAGTTTGAAAGCATTATAAAAGATTTCGTATTCTATTCGCAATTGCAAGTAATCATAGCTTTTCACAAACTTTTAATAAATTTGTGTACGGATTTATAATTATTTGCACTCTATAGACAGATAAATGGACACTTGTGTGGATGTCGGTTGAACAAGCAACGATTCTATTCCATGAAACCAAATTCTTTCATAATTACAATACGAAAGAAGTAGTTTCAGTTACATGATATAAGTGAAGCGAAAATTAAAATATCCTGCAGCTTTACATAAGCCACTAACTTTTGCAGTCTATTTGAAAAAAGAAATTTATTTCGAAAAGTAATAGAAATTCATTATATTATTTACACCTGCTATGAACGTGAAAAAATTCGTAATTTAATAATAATAATAATAATAATAATAAGGGAATGCTTAAAATGTACTTATAGATTATGGTGAAAATGGAACGGTGTTGAAATATTGCCTTACCAACCTTTTCGCATAAAATAAAACAATAAATATTTTACGTTCTTATGCTATTCGCAGGAAACACGTCTTCTAAACCAATCCTTAAATCACTTACTCTCTAATTTCTCATTGAATTTCAACAGGCACTGCAAGATATTTCGATTATATTATTACTACACTGCTTCTAATTTGGAAGATCAGGTTGCCAACCGACCTGCAGTTTCTCATGATTTTCCTCAGCTCTTCCCGATACTTTCTGGAACAGCAGACACCTTCAAATTTGCTTTGTTCAACTTCGCAATTGCTGTCTTACGTTATACGACACATACAGTTGAAAGACGTTGTTAAATGACATAAACCTCATCCAATGAAATTCGAATGACAACGCCGTTTTCTCGTACGTTGCTTAAGTGCCCATTCATTTAATTCTCGTTCCTTACTGGTGTACGTATTCAGTAGACGAATAAAATATCTTGATTTCTTACGAAGTTTCTCTCAAGAAAAGGCATTGTCATTATTTGAATGACTAAAATCATTTATCTACAGCGAAGCTTTGTTGTAGTCTTGAAAGGCGAAGGAGGGGGGGGGGGTGTTATAAATTAGAGGCTGTGTTTTGTGAGAGTCATAAAGATGGTGAAGTGGGAGGGAAGACAGAAATTGTGTGAAAACTTTATTACCATCAATCATGGTCGTCTTTGCTGAAGCCGCCGTGTTCCTGGCAAACACCAGGGCACCATACATGTCAAAACTATTAGTCATGCTATAGTGTGCAGAGAGAGACTTCGTCTATTTTAGATTTTGAAGGTTGAGTTGTTAACAAAGACAAGTTGTGTATTTTAAAATTTCAAGGCGAATGTTTACACAACAACATTATAACATCATATTAAATAGGCCAAGTTCACTCACGGTGACCAAACTGCGTGTTATCTTGGTTTGCCATATGATGATTACATGATAAAACGTCATTATATTATCTCCGTTTATTCCAGATAGTCGGCTTTAGCTCTCAGAGGGCTGTTACGCCAAGGATTATTTTATTTAACGACGCTTTGAATTGCTAAGATTATATAGTGTCGAATGGAAGGGCGATTAATTAATGAGAAAAGGATTGGAAAGGAACAAGTCGAGGAACCTTTTAAATTGAAGGTGACTGTATTTTGGCATATTTCGCCTGATATTCCGGTAGATACTGACCAACGCTTCAGTGGTGCTTACCGTCTTCCATCATCAGACTACTTTGCCTCGTCTGTCTTCATTCCAATCCTCCGAAGCCCCTCACCCATCTGTCGGACTAAGAGTCTGCGTTGTCTCGCTTGCTACTGAATCTGACAGAAAATGTTCGCGCGCGGTATAATCTTCGCCCTGATGATGGAGGCAGTAAGCACCTCTAAAACGTCGTTCAATTTTTTACAAGACTACAAAGTTCAGTATCCCATAAGACAGTCATGTACTTGATAACCTGAAATCTCACCATATCGTCCTTGAATTTTCATGGCGGTACTGAGGAAAATTACGAAACTCGTAATGAGAACAGCCGGTATCAGAGTCGAGACATGAATCCTGGGTTTCCAGAATATGAAGCAGGGGCGCTGGCCACTTGCCAGAACGTTCGGTAACGTAATTTCTGAGACTAATTGGACAAACCTGCGGTATAAAGATTATCAAATAACATAGAGTTTCCGGGAAAGATAACAGATGCAGCAGACGATTAAATCCGGGATTCCAAAGAGTGAAGCCATATTTTGAAATTTTCTAATTAATTCCGTGAAAAACGTGGATGCACACCCCAAGCGGCGCGCTGTTGTGTCTGCTCGTATGCTGACAGTCTGTTGTTTCTTCCACGGAGGGTGAGTCTGCAAATGCATTCATTGTTATAGAACCGTTGCCCAAGCAACCATGTTAGATTCATTAGGGGGAGTGACTTAGCAGGTGAGAGGGTTGTTAGCAAGCGTCTCGTCCTCTGTCTGGCGCAGGCACCATGTGTTTCGAAACACTAATTTAGAGGAAAATACACTTATGACTGTTATTGCAAATATTTGCTTGAGATTAATACTATTTAGGTCCTGCAGTTTCCAACTTTTATTAGTGTACACGTTGAATTTGTGTGGGAAAAGATTTAAACTCTTTTATGAGAATGTTAGTAAAAGTGTAAAGTCGATTCACGGATTCTGAAACTTAAAATTCACCACCAGTACCAAATTTATTTAGCCTATTTACGTCATGACTGTATTCATTCTTGACTCTTTATTTTAATAATACTAAAGTAAAAAATATCACAAGTGGATAAATAAATAAATGAACTGATGCCATTAATTTTATATATTCGAATAACTATAGAATTCGGTCCATAAATACGAGTTTTCTGAAACTGAAATGAAATAAAGTGGATGTGGTTAAATAAATTCATCATCGATGTAATGATAATAATAATGGACCGCCTATCAGATTAGCTGTAAACTTTACCGAAAAATTGTGGAAAATTTCTGTGAGCTGTTGTATGGTTCTGCAGTATAATGATCGTTAAATTGTGGGAAAGGCAATTTCCGGATAATATTGCAAGAGGAAATCTGTATGAAGGGAAATAATGAAGCCTCATATATTTAACACTTAAATTTAAATTTAGAGGTCACACCAATGGAACGTATTGACTCTCACTACGTGTTTTGTTATTGATCAAAACAGCACAATGAGGAAAGGCTTTTAATCTACGTACATAGGCCATGTGCTTCGCCAAGCGGAAATACACTCCTCTACAAAACATCGGTACTCAAAACAATTTTCCGGTGCTGGAGGTCATGGTTTAACCTTTGATACTACTCACAGATACGTAAAGTTTTAAAGGTTAACACATGTACCACCTACTTTAAAATCAGTAACTTAGATATATTTTGATTGATCTCTGAACATTTTTATTAGCAGTAAATGAATGTCGATGCCTGTTAAGTGTGTAAAATCGTAAAGGACGTGGTTGGAAAATATATGTAGGTTTATTAAAACCTCGATAAATCCGGAATAAGAAAACTTCTGTCTGCAATAAATGTGAACATGGAGGCAGTTGATTTATGCAAAATAGTAAATAGTGCATGTGGACAATCGCTTATGAGTGCTCCGTTGGAATACATGTGCTTCCGCTATTGTTTGTGAAATACATGGCCCGTGGGGTGGGGGGGGAGTTGTCGACGCATTTATTTCCGTTCCTGCGAGAAGGTTAGACTTGTTTTTACAGATGTTCGTAAGTCAAGGTGACGTGCTTTTGTGATGAACCATGATTGGCGTCAGACTGTTTGCGCTCGTGGAGTAGAGTAGGTTCTGCAGCTCGACAGAGGTGGACTGGAATTAACAAACTGCGAATGCAGGAAAGATTCAAA